CTCTTTCTGATTCAGTGTTATTGTTTAAAAACAATTACACTCACTTCAAACACAATTTAATTTTGGCATGATACAGTCAACGCAGAACCTCTTTTTGTTTCTAGAATATGTTTTTTTAAGAATTGGGTATTGAATGCCTTCCTGAAAAAGTCTGCCAAAACTGAACTTTTGAAGTGTTTCACTGGAGATTTGGTCATTAATATTCTAAATGTGAACTAGACTAATTGGAAATTCAAATGCAGGGGTGTTGCGTTCACATTCACTAAACTATTAATTGTGACAATTTTTCCGCTGAAAAGTGGAAGAAGAATTGTGATGGCTCTTATTTTTATAATTTCCCTATCAGCAGATCAGCTCCTGTAGAATTGTTTGGAGCGTTTTAATGTGGCTGAAGGGCTTACTCTTGAGAGTACTGAAAGTTTTTGTGAACCTTGGGCTCTCTCCTGTAGCACTGCCAAGTGAGCTGCTGTTTCACAGAAGAGAGCCCAAAGGGAATCACAGGAACAGAGCTTTTCAGAATTCTTCTTGATTCAGGCTACGCTTGTGTTTAGCAGGCACACAGTTTGATTTATTTTTTTTTTCATACGTTTGTCCAGCTGAATGTTTTACTTGCATAGTATTCTTTGGAAAAACTGACTATTTTTGTTCAGGAAAAGAATTTTAAGGATTTTTCAGGATTCGACTTGATTGCCTTTTTTCAGGTAATTTTCCATAGGTATGTTTTAGTTTAGGAAATGTTTGCCAGTTGCTAGTTTTCCAAGTAAGATTAATTATATTAGGTACAGTAATTGTATTAGGTACAGTATTTAGAAAAGGATACTTGCACAAATTATTTAAATCATACAGTGGAAAGAAATATACATGAAGTAAATGGTCTCATCATAGTTCATTACATATGAAAAACATCTTCTAGCTAATAATAAACCATGGACATTTTTTTGGAGAACTGCTAGAGAATTAGACAAGCTTGAGCTACTCAGAAATTATCATCCCAAAAGAGTCTCCTAGGTTGCTTCTAATCCTGAAGATAATCAGGTCATTCACTGCCTCCTCCCTGTTGAGTTTTTGTACTGCCTTAGAGCCATGTTGTAGCACGCCGTTCCCATCCCAGCTTCAGCAGGTCAGCTTATGACTTGCCTAAGCTAAGTAGATATTTGTTTCATCATCTGACATTGTAGGTAGTCACATAAATCATTACATTCAAGCTGAAGTCAAGTATACATACAGGAAATGCATACTGTAACTATGGCAAATCAAAATCAGAGACATGCAAAAATACGGCAGTCTGACAGATAAAATTAAGTCTATGTCCAGAAGCTAAACTGCAGTAAGTAGTCATCTAATACAATCCTGCTTGAATATCTCTGTTGAATGTCTCCAGCTGTCTAGTTGCAGGTGACTTTCTTTTCAATGTGTGGGTTTTTGCAGTGTCTTTGTAAGGGACTGATGTTTTCCCCACGTACCTTATAGGGTGCCTGGGCATCTTGTGCTGGTTTATTGACTGCACTCTGAATGACAGATTCGTAATCTTTGGTAGCTAATACATAGCTAGCAAAGTCCTGTCCTGAATCTAACCAAAAAACTTACTTTAATGTTGTTTCATATTTATGTCTTTGTATGAATATTAGTACTGTCTTGCAATTATCTCAATTTGTAAAAACATGTTTGAGGTGATTGTGTGGTTTGTTAACTCCGCAGGTACGCTACATGTAGGGGATGAAATCCGAGAGATAAACGGAATCAGTGTGGCAAATCAAACTGTAGAACAACTACAAAAAATGCTTGTAAGTGCCTGAAATCTTTCTCATGTTCTTTGTAAAAGTGCCTATCCTATTTTGACAAAACTTTTATGTAATTGCATTGTAACTTCCCCCTTTTTCTTCTATTCTTGATAGCTTACATGTGTGTGTAACACAAAGTCTTCCTGTGTTCAGCTGTTCAAGCCTTCTACAGACTCTCCCCTGGTTTTTAGTAGTGACTTTTTGCGCCTTACACCCAGGAATGGTAGAAGGCACCTCCGGGTGTCATTTTATTTATTCCATTTAGTCCCACAGAAAAGGTCACTGACATCCAACCATTCCTGACAGATGTATGTCTGACCAACTCTTAAAAAAACTTGAGCAATGGAGTCTCCCCAAACTCTCCAGGCGGTTCACTTTAGTGAACTAACTCTTCTACATTTTAAAAAGTTTTTTCTAATGTCTGAGTGTCCTTTGTTGAAATGCAGGAGTTTCTTCTCTTGTCTGTAGTGGACAGAACAGAAAAAATACTGCTTTCCTCCTATTACTCATCCCAAGTTAGTCTATAAAGATCATGCCCTTATTTTAAATCTTCAGTCTACACCAAGTGTAGTCACTAAGTAGACTGTGAGAGAAACTTATTCCTGACTATTGGTGTCATTGCTGCACAAATACGAAGACAAAAAATCATAGAACCACTCAGGATGGAAGTGGCCTCAGGAGGTCTCCAGTCCAGTCTCCTTCTCAAAGCAGGATCAACATTGAATGCCACCCAGATTGCTCAGGACTTTGTCTGGTTAAGCCTTGAATATATCCAAGGACAGAGATTTGACAGGACAGGTGCCTCTTTGGGCATCCTGTTCCAATATTTAATTATCATCATAGAGAAAATTGTGTTCCTTATGTACGGCTAGAACGTCCCTTCTTTCAGTTTATAACTATTATGGCTCATGGTTATTGATGTTACAGAGAAAAAAAAAATATTTTGAGCTCAGGCAGTCTGGCTTTTTGCATGAAAAACTCCAACTTGGGCCTTGCTAGTAGAGTCAGGTTGATATTCCACAGCACTTGCAAATTTTTCTGTATGCAACCCTAACCTTGGGATCTTGGATGATATCACTAATCCCTTTGTTGTGTCCAGAACCATACAGACAAGCTTGAGTGAGTCCAGGCAAATAGCATTTTTTTGGCTCACAGTAAGCCAGCCAAAGAGAGAACGGGGAAAAACTCCAAGATCACTTCAAGTGATCTGCTTACCTTTCTGCCCAGATCGAGTCCTGCAGTTGTCAGCCATGTGATGGCACTTAGATTCAAACTGTCATTTAAGAAAATATGACTGAGCAAATATGTTGCCACAATCTGCTACTATTCTGCAGTTACTACTTGTTGTGAATATTCTTGTACTATAGTAAATGCAAACTAGCAGCAGACCCCATGTTCTATATTGATGAAAGACTATTTCTTGCATTTCTGCCTTTAGTACAGTAAAATGCAGCTTTCCAGAAACTGTAAATATGCTATTTAACGTGTATGATGAAAGGGAAGAAATTTTACTTTAGTAGCAAAGACTCTGTGGATTACAAGGATATGGCTACAAAGAAAAGATTGACATGGACGAAACCTACATGTCTCTGAATCTCTCACCTTTGAAATACAGCTGTAGGTTCTAGGCATTTGAAAACTGGTCAGGCGATCAAACTAATGATGTATGTTTAACTTTTAGATTAATGAGAGACAATTTAAATGTTTGTTTATAAGTGAAATGACAAATTAGCCATAACATTTTAGCTTTCCTGAATATTCACTTTAGGAAAACATACCGCTGCTCTCAAACTATGATGCTTTCCTTTCAAGCATTAGTGATTTGGCAATTTTATCTTCAGTGCCTTAGTCTTTAAAGAAGTGCTTCTCTTTTTGCAGAGGGAAATGCGTGGAAGTATTACCTTTAAGATTGTGCCAAGTTATCGCACGCAATCTTCATCCTGTGAGGTAATGAATTTAATGAACCGTTCCATTTCTTCCTTAGTCCTGTAACTAACTGCCTGCTGATGGCTGAATGTTACTGCTTTCTGGGAAATTGTTTCTGCCTGTCCTGTTAGATCACGCACACCAATTTTACAACAAAGATAACGGAACACGAGTAGGTCCCACCTACCTACTCAGCCCTGCCTTCATATTCATCTCATCAGCACCTTAACTAACTCTTTACAGCCTGTTTAAAAAAAAAAAAAAATAGGAAAGGGGATCCTTAACTCATGCATTTAGGAAGCCCCTTTAAAAAAATTTTAAGTTAAACTCCTTGTCCAGGAAGTCTATTAAAGTTCCTAAGCTGAGGAGCAATCCTCCTTTTTTTAGGCATTAAATGTTATTTTACTGCTTTGGGCTGTTAAGGGTTAATTGAACAATCTGTTTCTGTATAACCCTGTTGAGGTAAATTTGTGATGGTTGTCTGTAACAGTTACATGTGGCTTAATGCTATGTTTCCATGAAAAAATGGTATTTGTCATTACAGAAGAAAAAGAGATTTGGAGTTAGTTCTTGGTGAACTAGAAACTTGGTATTATGGGTTTTACACAGTAATGTTTAATTCCCTTCTGCTCACAAAGTTATGTTCCAGATTGCAACTGAAGGGAATTAAATTCTAGAAAATGGCTACTTGAGCGATACTGTTCCAATTTAAGCATACAGATGGCATATGCACTACATAGATGATGCCAGTCTTTGTGCCACACGCTCAACTGCGCAGTTCCCAAATTAGAATTCCAAGAGTGAAATCACAATCCCTGTTGCAGTCAAGCACCTTATCTTAATTAGAGCTGTGATTTCACCCTAATAGTTTTTGTATCTCAGCAGATGCTAGAACACACAGGAACTGCTATTGTGATTGTCAGAACAATCTGTTTGCAAGAAAAAAATTACTGCTTTTTGGTTGCCTTCTGTACTTCTAAAAGAAGTTAACAAGAACTAGAAGGTTTTAGAGGTAGAAGGTTTGACAAATTTTCACCTATGAGGCTAATTTTCTTAAAAGTTATAAATGTGAAAGCAGAAGTTTTTCATGAAATACAAATTCTTTAAAAAAAAAACCACCTCAAATAGAAATTCCAGAGTGTGCTGACAATTTATGTATTGTCTTCTGTGCTGTAAATAGCAGTAGTAATGAAAGACATCTCACTTCCCAATATTAAAATACAGAAACTGGTGAAACTATAGACCTGCTGGGAAGATGATTATTTGGAAAAAATAATTCAGCATACAGCTTTAAATTAATACCTTTAGGGTTCATTTTAGTAGTAGTAGGTCATCTCTTTTCCTTAGCTTTGTGTCCTTAGATTCTTCGTGACTGTTTATTTCACAGAAGAGAGGAAAGTGGACTCTTACCTTTCTTTGGGAAGAAACAGCAAAACTAGAAATGTGTGATCAAAGACAGACGGGAAAAAAAAACCAAGCATGTCTAATTATCACACTTTGTGGCATTTAGCGTTCATTTAATCAGAGGCGGCTGAGTTTATTCCACCTGCTCGGCCACTGTGACTTTGGCTAGATTTTCAGCTCTTACAAGTTTACACAAAAAGCCAACATTTTTAAATCATCCTCTTAAAGCATTACTAGTCCTTTGGTACACAGAGAAATTTTTTCACAGAATTTTTTAGGGTTGCAGTTCAGATGATGAATCAAATTCTTAACCATTGATAAAGGCTAAAAATGAATGCTGACTGACATTACTAAGACACAGAAAGCTTGCTTCTCATGCTCTCTAGCAGGATTAGTTCAGAGGTACTGGATCTTCACTAGTATAATCTTACTAGTTAAGGTATTTTTTGGCAATGTTTCAGTATAAATTTATGTTTGGTTCCCCTCCTCCCTTCTGTCATGGACTGGTGCTCACGTAGTATAGTTCTTACCAGAAGAGGAATATAAAACAGAATCAATAACTGGGGGTTTTTTTGAGGCTCCTGCCATGGTGATGTCATTGGATTGCAAAACATCTTGTTAATCTTGAATAAGAAAAACTAAATATTAGTAGAATCAGAGGTGATCTGCCTTTTATATAGAACCTGCCTACATGCCTTTGTATACAAAGGTGGGGGGGGAGGCACGGGATGTTATTTTTTTTAATAACTGAGATTTGCATTTCACTTGCCACATTTTTCTTCTTTTGTAGACATTTAAGAGAAATGTTGTAGTGGTGTTTCCTAAATATTAAGCCACTTTTGCATATTTAGGGAACTCTTGGCCCTATAGTACATAATACTTCAGTGTCACTAGGCAGTTTCCAAAATCTCAACTGAATAATTTCAAGTTTCTTACGGATTTGTGGCTTTTCCTGCACCTGTGCCTTCCATTCAGTTACCAGGCCTTCTGTTTCGTGGAGTAGACTTTGCTTGAAAACATAATACTTACAGATTCCCTTGTCTAAAAATTTGTTCAGCTGATCTACTGGGAGATGATCTGTCTAGTCACTGGTGTGGCAAATGGCCTGAGTTACTCGGCTATCTAGCTAACGCAGTGGCCAGGTTGTTGTGTTTTCTGCTTCAGATACCCAGGAAACTACAGACTTGCATAAATATGAACTGAGGCAATTATTGCAACAAATTCTTCTTATGGCTGATGACTGTGTATGCTGTTTATATATTTCAGCTTTATCCAACTGAGTAAGCATTTTGCTCTTGCTACATTTGCATTCTCACTTTGTACTGAAAAAACATCCCGAGTAACTTTTCATAGTGTCACATATGTGAGAATGATAAGGGAAGTACTTCTTTTTTTTTTTTTTTTTTTAATTTTGTGGATCTGGCAACAGTGTCATTAATCTAGCTGTTCTCGTCAGTATCTAATTTGATCAGGCCACATCTAGTAGCCATAATTGACTTCCACTATAGGATTGCATCTCAAACACATTGTTTTATACTTCATAATCCACACCTAAGAACAAAGAATCAACGGGAAACTAGTTTTGCCGTCATTTGGAAATAATTATGATTGCTTCCTCTAAGGCTTCAGCTGTGGTGCTTCAACTGAAGAGCAAGGATCCAAAAGACTGCCGTTTTGTTATTTGGCTTGGGGCTAGGCAAGGTTGGGAAGTCTAGATAGTCGACTTATATGGAAATAGGATAACACTTCTACACTATTCAGAATCATTGGATCCTCCAAGTGTTTTTCTGCTCTAATCCCCAGGAGAACTAGGGCTTTTTCTGATTTACTGGAGAAACAATCACAACCAAAGCTGAAGTTTTCCAGCCCAGTTCTAAGCAGTCCTAGCATCCTACAAGGATCTCTCTGCTCATTGATTTGTCCCATTAGGCTGCGCATAATACAGTTTTTCTCTTAACTTTTGAGTCTGGTATTTTTGGAAAGAAAGACCAGATCCCTAGGAAATTAAGAATCCAAATGCCTTTGAAATTGTGGTTGAACTGCCTAGTTACTTAAAAATCATACATATACCTCTTGACTAGCTTGATAGATTCATTTCTTACAGTTAGTACTGAAATCACCAATAGCACTGAAAATGTGTATTTTCCTCAGTATGTTATGATGAACATTTGCTTTGAGTAATATGCTGTCTTCTGCTGAGAATTGTTGGAGGACTACAAATCAAAACATTCTCAAACCAAGAAAATTTCCTTCAAAGGGAGACGCCTTCAAGAGAGTCCAGAAATAGTGGCATTCTCCAAGTGACTCTAAACTTGTTTTTTTCCAAATGACTTGGATGCTTGCATCACTTGCCAAAGCTCTCCCTTGCTAAACCATCACTGACTAGCAGATCATAACAAACTAGGTTTAAAAAAAAAGAAAAAGAGAAAAAAGGTAAAATTAATTTTTCATCTCTTCTTGGAAGTGAGAAAGTGGCAGAGACAGAGTTGCAGAGCAAGCAGAAAATCTCTTTATAAAAGAAGGAAGTCACTGCTTTTTTTTTTTTTAAAAAAAAAGTATCTCAGCTGCTGTTTGATAAAGGTGATGCTGATAATCCTGTACACACACAAAAAAAGAAAGAACAGTTCCTTTAGGCTTTCCTTTTTTTTTTTTTTTTGGTAATGAATAGCTTATTTGGTCTATTATTATTTAGCTTATTTGGTCAACTTGTTATGCTGGAGTGATTTTGTAAATAAAATTAGAGCTCATTTCCCCCAGGTCGTTACATGTCACAAATGAGCATTTTGTTCTTATGCATGTAGCAGAAGTATACAGACCTACATACTTTGAACCACAATGATTTTACAGCCATAATATTGTCAGATCTGACCTCAGCTGTGTTAAAATCAAAGCAAGCATCTAGACAGCTACATACAGAACTTTCTGTGAAATAATATCTAATGAGTTCACAAAAAAGTGCAGAAGTTTTACATGAGTTTGCACATCAAGCATACAGGCAGCAAGAGGGATAAAGTATTGCCTGTCACCTTAACTTTTCTTGATGCTTTAAAATAGCTATGAGTGCTATCACATAATTAATAGAAGTGTGAGAATATTAGTAGAGGACCTTTACCTGATTAATGTTGCATGAACAATTCTGGTTTTTAATTTGTTCACAAAGGGCACTTGTATTGATAAAATGTGACAGGGATAGCTTTGTTTTCTTTGAAAACTGTTTTAGCCCTTGTTTTCTGCTATCTTTGGCATTATGCAAAATCACCAGACATTCCTAAATTGACTTTTGACATGGAATATTGTATTCCAAAATTCCTTTGTGAGTACAGGGGATTTTTTTTTTTTCACAGTGTATGAGTGAATTATTTTATTTCCTGAAGGCGTGGCTCAATTCTCTGATCTGAATTTCATAAGCACTATACAATCAAAATGGCATGTGTAAAAGATAGCTCTACAAGTGGCTTCCTTGCATTTGCAAAGCCAAGTCAGAAACTCCTGTTATCCTTTCTGTAGAATTTCCCGATCTGCACCCTGCATCTGCTGTCTCCTCGCCGACGTTTAGGACCACACGGGTAGTCTGGGTCAAGAGAGGTGGCTTTTTTAAAGCAATATATTTTGGCAAGGTTTAATACTTTTAAGCCCGTAAGAATGTTGGAGGAAAAAAACCTCAGTGTGCTGTAAAAGAGGGAGAAGAGAGCATCCAGCTTCCTTCTCAGGTGTTGGCTTCGGTATCTTCGAGGCACTGTGGAGAGATGCATCTTGCAGAGTAGAAGCTGATCAACACTGACCTCCACCGCATAGCTGAAAAAAGATTTAGAAGTATCTTTAAAATGGAATATGTGCCTCATTCTATTCAAAGTATTATTCAGCATATAACTTTCAGGTAATTACTGTTAACAAAGACACCAGTATGACTAAGGGCCTTAGCGTTGTCAGCCACATGAGATCTAAGAGGTCCCAGATACTCAGTAATTAAAAAGCTGTTTGATTGCTAAGGCGATAAAAATAGTTATTATCTAGGATACATCAAAGTGTCAAACCTTGAATTTTAAACTATGGGAAAACTTTTCAGATTTACAGAGTTTGTAGCGTGGAAGCTTTCACAGATGAAGCAGCTAAGCAAATGGTTATAAGGCTGTGGATGTAACTGTTCTATTAAATATATCTGTGTTCCTGTGATAGTGTTGTGTTGTTAATGAACCTTGTGTCTTATTTCAGAGAGATTCCCCCTCTACATCCAGACAGTCCCCAGCTAATGGCCATAGCAGCACTAACAATTCTGTTTCGGTAAGATTTCCAGTTCCACACAGAGAAAGTGTGACAATTTTGTTGGTGCTCATCTGCCATTACTGTTATACTTACCATGTGGTCAGTGGAAAATTTTGTCCTGCTGGTAAAACCAAGGTTATTACATATGTAACTCCCCATTTTCTTTTTTTTTAAGGATTTTTTCCAACATACTCTTCTCATTAAAAGCCATATAGTGAATTGAATGTTAATAACTGTAATGTGACGCTTCAGTCATCCTTAAATCATTGTTAGCAGTTTCCTCAAAACAAAGCAAAGGTTTAAAGTGGAAGTTTTATTTCCATCCTGAACCGTGGAAGCAGTGGTAGAATAACTGTGCAGTTGGTATTTCAAGATGTTTTAGACTCTTAAGTTTTGTGTTTTGAGAGCCCTCTGGAACGTGTACTGGTTTCCGCTATCTGAGTTAAGGAATTGGTGTGCCATCTGCTGTCGTGGTACGTGCACAGACTTTGTGACATATGAGCCTTGCCTGGATATGAAAAGCAAAAGGAAGCGGCTTAAAACTGCACTACAATCCAAGCTATTATCATCACATCTTTAACACAAAGTACTTCTTGTTTCGTGTGTGTTCAGGTAGAAAGGTGCTGCTGATCTCCTGTTTTTTCTAAAGTATATTAAGGTGAAAATCTGTGGTGTTTTATCTTTTGTCGTCGTTTGGACCAATGTAGTAACTGTACACGCAAGTTCCTTCAGCGGGAGTGCTGGCAATATCATGAGTTCATGGGACTAGCCAAAAAAAAAAAAAAAAAAAAACAAGAGAAATAAAAATGAAAAAACAAACAAAAAAAAGAATAACTACTCCTTTAACTATTAAAAAAATTTACAACTTAGAAATTATTTGCCACAAGGTAAAGTGCTTACTAATATTGAAAAATAATTATGTGGATGAAAAAATTAAGAAATTTGTGTGAATTAAATTGAATTTGTAATATGACTAGTAGTTATAATCTTATTTCTTGGCACAATTTATCGCATTATACATTTTTAATAATAATTTTTTTAATATTTATAATAGCCATCCTTCTCTTTTAAAAACAAGACTAAGTATTAAGTGGAAAAGGCATTCACATAAAGAGCCTCTTTCACTTGACAGTGCTTTTGTGTTGAAGATGCTGAATTATTTATTAAAAAGCACATTCTCTATCTGCTTAAACTTTTTACCTGCTTTCTTCAGCTTGCTGCTAAACAGCCTGGGTTTGATTTTTCTTTAAGAAAAAAAAAATTTCTAAACATCAGTCAACGCTTTATACTTTTGTCTGACTTACCATTTTACTGTAATGTAGTATGAATCACTAACAAATGGTGTTGTATACCCTTAAAAAGTAAAATGAAAATTTCTTCTCCTGGGTTGACTTTATTCTGCAGGACTTGCCATCGACAACACAACCAAAAGGACGACAGGTGAATAGATATCCTCCATGGGAATTTTTGTAAACTTAGCTGCTAGTGAACATCCCTGCTTATCTTTTCCCCCCTCATATTCTGTATGTGCTGGACTAAAACATTTAAGCTTGGAAAATTTGTTCCATTTTTTTCATTTTTCTTTTTAACTCATTTGTTTGTGGCTAATTCAAAATAGCATTTTTTTCATGTGTCCCTATGTGTGAGAGTTACAAAATCATTGTAAATTTAACTGGAGATGTTGTTTTAGTTCAGAATGCATTAAACTAGACTTACTGTTGTGCAGTGACCTGTGCAGATTTTCATCTTAGAGGAAAGCTCAAATTTATATTTTAGCTGAAATGGAGACTACTAAGGCAAGTGTCTAATACTCTACTCCAAAACGTTGTACTGACAAAGATTCTAAAGCTTGAGTAGGTCTATAACTAATTATTAACATTAATAAAGCTCTTCAGAGGAAAGCATTACGGGCAGTTTCTATTAAGCGTTGTTAAGTCTGAAGGTAGCCTCCTAAATTTTCAGTCCTAAGGCCCATATTCAGTAACCTCCCTTAACTTTGTTACCTTGACCTGATGGTAGTACATGTTATCATGGACCGAAGAAAGATCTTCCCTCTCCAGAGAATTCTAACAAAGCCCTTAAGGACTCTGCCGAGGATTCCCTATGATTCACTTTGCAATTTTAAGAATTTTTTTTTTTTAATGCAGTCTCCAAATCAACACTTACAATCAAGTGATTTGTGATTCATCTTCAGTAACTGCTCCATTTATATATAGCCCTTCCAGAATCTGCCTCTGAATCTTTAACCGTGGACTCAACCTCTTTCTCTGCCAAGGGTTTTAATAATAACTCTTGCAATTCCATTCGAAAGAGTCAATTAACTCCATGGGTTTTGGAAATCTTTTTATACTACTGTCTGGTTAAGTTGGCAGGAATATCTATTACAAGATTACATTTTTAAAGCTTACAGCTATATGGTTCTTTCAACTTTCTGTTGTCTTCTGAAGTTTCCAGCTGCTTGTATGTCATCCTGGGAAGGCTCCATGAAAGACCTTCCAAGCTGTTGTGTTAGGTTTTCGGTTGCCTCTCGTAAGGTATTTTTCCCAGGAGAAGCGACTTTGTTCAAGGCAATATCAGAGTAACGGTGTTCCTCGTACTCACACCATTTGTAGCTACCTGGGTTTTTTTCAAGAGTCTTTTCCCATTGAACCAGCATATTTTTCTGCTAGCTTGTCATCCTTGAAGCCAGTAAGGGCTTGGATAACAGATACATTGCTATCTGTAAGGAAGTCTGTAATGTTCCGTGAACTGCCGATATATGGAGATAATGGCTCAAACTGGAGCAGGGACTTGAAAAGCAAGGCAGTTTCTAGACAGTGAAAATACTCCTTATGTTTCTAGACGTATATTAGGTAAGGTTGAGGAGAAATAAGGGATTGGCTCAATACTGATTACTTCCTAGAAAGCCAATTACTAGACAAACGTGGTTGGTGATTAAAATAAGTTGGTAATAACTTCTCTAAAGTCACACACTCAATGCACAGCAGAACAAGGGTCAGATTTAGTATATTAAAAGTTGAGTTCTGTATTGGTATTATCATCTGATGCTCTCATTGTGAAGAGATAAAAATGCATCAGGTACATGATAGTAGTGATTAGCCATTTTAAGTTAATTTATTCATACATTGGGTTGCAGATTGGATTACTATAGAAATTAACTTTTTTAAGTGCCATGAATAGTGCTAACACTGCATAGTGACAGCTATTTTTGGAGCAGAATTTGAACAAAGTTGACAAGTGTTTGTTACAGTTTAAATGAAGGATGTCATTTTGTGATGTAATTTTTTTTTTTTTTAATCTAGTCATTTTTTTGTAAGAAAATCAGCAGTAGACTATGCATGGCTGTCTGAGATGCTATAGGGAGATGTTTGAAGTTCATAAACTGTAGAAATTACCCATCTTGGACATGACATTTAATTCCAATTTTAAGATCCTTGGATGCCTCAGGGCTGTAATTAGCAACCAAAACTGGAGATCACTTTTATTTTTATTGTCTAGGGCTGAGACCTCACTAGCACACAAAGCAAAGGATTGGTATATTATTTAAATTGTGAAGTCAGAATCTGAATTCTTTCTGCAGTGTTCCTTAGGGAATAACTTGCTCAAATCATTAGTTTTCATTTATACAGGAGTAGACTTTTACTGAAAACCCCATGCAGAGAATTCCCAGATTCCTCCCAAGTAACTATACGTGATAGGTGCAACACAGGACTTCCTATTTAGTCTTATAAAAAGGGAATAAATTTTCAGTCTAAATGCTAAAGATCGGTAATGTAGCTTAAGTCCTTGAGCTTTATACTGTCCAATAAAATTCCTTGTCATACAAATTTTTAAAAGATATCATGGAACTTCATTTGGAAAGTGCAGTACAGTTCAAGTTGTAAGCTACTGGCTTATAGTCTGTAGTGATTCATGATAGTTAATATTGATTTGAGGGACTGTCTCAGTTTATTACATGTATTTATTTTTACTGTTCAGGTTTTACAGTATGTAGAAGACGTGAGCTTTCAAAATAACATCGTATGTCTCCATTGTTTGCTGGGGGGGTGTTTCTGTTTCATTTTCAGCTATCACTTATGCTTCTGCCATTCTGTTTCTTCCTTTGCTTGTTGCAAACAGTGTGTGTAGTTACGTGCACAGATCAAATTTTCACCTGTTACTCTTAGTACTGTCCCAGTAATAATATCGTGGTGTCTTTTATAAACTCTTTTTAATAGATATATGTAAGAGCACAATTTGAATATGATCCAGCAAAGGATGACCTCATTCCTTGCAAAGAAGCTGGCATCAGGTTCCGAGTTGGTGATATTATCCAAATCATTAGCAAAGATGATCACAACTGGTGGCAGGGTAAACTTGAGAACTCCAAAAATGGTACCGCAGGTCTTATTCCTTCTCCTGAACTTCAAGAATGGTATGTCCTAAGTTTTCTATAAAAATGAATTTAGCTCTGCTTTTATTTCTGTCTTTCATGCTTTTTGTTGTTGTATAGCTGGTTTTTGTATCATTTTTTCTTTTTTTAAAAAAAGGTCTATATATTACTTCGGTTTATGTGGCATTGTTGTTTTTTTTTCTTTTCTCGTATATGCTTAGCAGTAAGGGTTGCATGCAATATCGTGTGTGGTTACATCAGAAAAATAAACACCTGTGTTAGTAAACGTTGTTTGCCATTTCTGGTAAACTATAGGAAACTGGGATTAAAGGCTACACACAAAGGCTTGTTTATGTAAGGCGTCAGATTAGTTTCTCTTTTAGGTTCTAAGCAGCGTTGTCATTAGTCCTGCGGGAATAAGGTGTTAGCAAGACATCAAGCACAAAAGTCATTGAGGGAGTTTTGGGGTTTTCTCTCCTTTTCATTTATCACGTGAAAGCCAAGAAGCAGAAAGAAATCACAGTGCAAAGATTCCTGAATGACAGATTTGATGAACAGCAATGGCACTGAGTACCGCAAAAGCAATGCAGAGCCTTCAAACAACCTCTTGCAGAACTGTTTAGTAAATATTTTAAATGTATCGGCACAAACTTTGGCAAGCGAGTCCTGGGCCGTGAAAGTTATGGCCATAACTCAAGAAAGTTTATTGATATGGGTAATCTAGCCCAAAATATTTCATACAAGATTTGCTACGTAAAAGAATTGGAGTGCTGTAAAGGGTTTAACAGCACCTGTGTCACCCGGACTGGCTAAGGGAGATTTTGCTAGAAGAGAAACAGAGGTAGAGGAGACATTTCATTCCATCTCAAGAGTTCTCTTGCAAGCCCTGACGTAAGGGAGACACCGGTATGCATTGCAACAGGAACACTTGCAATACTTCATCCTAAAGATTGACCTCAAAACAGGTCCACAACACAACTTGCTCTGAAGGAATTTAGACCATGGTGGTCTTTTCAGACCTCATGTTCTTCCAGTCTCATCTGCTGCAGAGTGGTCTACAGCCATTTTAGTAGCTACCCTTCCTCCCATGCTCCCTTAATCTGTGAGCCTTAATGATCTACCACTAAGAAGATACTCTTTATATCAAAATATCTCTCTATAGAAGTGCTTTTAAGCCATCCAAAAAAAGGTTTTGTAAAGTTTTACCGTACTGTTGTATATTAAAAAGTTTTACTTTTCTAATTCATTCTGTGTGGCTTTTTAAAGATACATTGATTGCAACAAAAAATTTTTTTTCTCCTCCATATGCCAGGCGAGTTGCTTGTATTGCCATGGAGAAGACAAAACAAGAGCAACAGGCCAGCTGTACTTGGTTTGGAAAGAAAAAAAAGCAGTACAAAGACAAATATTTGGCAAAGCACAATGCAGGTATGAAAAAAAAAAAATGAAAGTATCTTTAACAGGTTAAATTTTTTACAATCTAAACCTTGCCATTAATTGTTCAGCTGGCACTGTTATATGAACTTAATGAGTTCCTTAAGAAAATGTAATTAAAATTCTAATTATGCCAACATTACTCTGCTTGTTCATTGCTATTTAAACCTATAGCTTAATCAGTGAGAGGCAAGCTGCAACAAAGTAAATGCGTGATAATATATCCTAATATAGGCTTACATTGGTTTGGTTTTCATTTTTAGAGGAGCACTAGAAACCAACAGGATATGAGTTTTGCAATCTGTATAACTGTACTGTCCTCTGCAGAAGACTTTTCAGTAGCATCCTTGTTAGTATGTGTTCATAGTTATAGATTATCTGTGTGAAGATATCATGAAAGGGCATTTTTCTTGAAGTGTTACAGCTGGAAGTGGAATTAGAGCCATTGCATAGTCGGTGGGTTATTTACAGTTACCAAATAGAACAAACTGTTGAAGTTTATCCTCTTTGCAGTGATTTCTGCCTGAATCCTAAGTTTTGGTTTTCTATTTAGACTGCTGAAAAATTGAATTGTTTTAGAAAATTTTGAAAGTCGAAGTGTAGAGTAAGAGATCCTTGCTGAGCAAAATTCATTAGTTTTAGTAGTAAAGAAGGAAGACTCCTTCGTTCATGAGCAGAATTTAGTTCTTTCTTAATATAAAATACTGCATGTGTTTAAACTGCTTCTGTTGCTTTTGCATTGATATCACATACTGTGGTAATAAATATATTGTTGTGGTCTCTTGGGTGACTTACAGGGATTTTTATTAGAAATAAAGATATACCTGTCCAAACAGTGTAATGAAAGTATTTTATATATTGCATTAATGTCTGGGTTTTTTCAGTTGCATTCTTGAGCACACCGATTAAACCACATATCTGTATTTTCACATTTCTCCTTACCTGTACAATCTGTGTGCAGTATCGGAGCTCATAGTGTAGCAGTACTACAGAATTTATGTTTACCTGAAAGTCATTTGAAAAATAAAATCTAAGAAAGTCAAAGAACAGTAATTGTCATTTATACTCCTTAATTCACCATCACATTTAAAATGTTCACAGTTAAATATAAAATTACTCGTTACCCTAAAAGCCCTTAGAAGTAGAGATTGAAGGCTTTAACTTGTTTCCCTCCTTTTGCTGGTTTAACGTTCTGGTTCTTTTAATGTTTCCACTTCATTGCAGTAGCACTAAACCATGTTTTACTAATTATGACCTTAACAAAAACTGTTGAGAATAAACGGGGATTTATGACCTAAAGTCTTTGACAGTACTGGTTTTAAAGTTGCTCCCAGCATACATTCCCATAGCATCGCTACTCCCTTGAGTTGTGGCGGAATAACTTTGCGTGGCCACACTATTAACTGGATTAACTGAAGAACAACCCAACAAAAAGCATTGATTCTTTTTCTTTAGGGCAGATAGGTTTCTTACCACAGTTCACAGTGCAACTGCGTAGTTAGTAGTGTCAGTGTGACTAAGCACGACATGCTACAAAGGAATGAGGATGGCCAGGGAAGAAGGAGGAGCAGGCAATACTTCAGGAGCAAAACTAGTTCAAAGACTTTGTATCAGTTAAATCCCTGAAAGGAAAGACCGGATTACCTTCCTATCTTGTTGTAAGGGGAAAATTTTGGAGAGGGTTGATAGCACTTTGAGTCACGCAGTTTGCCTGCCTTAGCGCTTGCCACCATCAGTGCTGTTGGTCGCTTTACATCAGAGCACAGTGTTTGCCAAAGATCAGAAACATGAACGTTAAAAATTATCAAAATGACCATAAAAGAAAGTCTTATTTTCATAATACCGTCTGACACTTCCCCTTCCCGCTAAGAAGTCAAAAAGTTAATGAAAGTGCAGATTGGAATCAAGATTTCTCTTAGAAATGTTTATTGATCTTAGTGTCCTTGAGGTATTAAAGGTGATGCCAGTAATATTCAGGGGAATGACAGCAAACATAGGATCTAAAAAGAGGTTCACTGAAATGCTGTGGTGCTTGCATGAGTTTAACTAAAGTGGTGCTGAAATTACCTTCTCTGATCTGCTCTCTCACATCTGGTATTGTTAGTCAGGAATACGGCAACGCTGGCTTTTGCAAGCTTTCAGTGCATCTGTCTCAGAATAAAAACCAAATCTTTCCTTCTATTTGATCCAAAATAAGTACAATTAATTTGAAACGGGGAAGTCTTAATCCAGATGTCAAAATGCTGCTTTTACAAGAAAGTAGAATTTATTTGTCTTACCTTTTAGTATGAAATTCAATCAATCATTTAGTGGTATGCAATCTATTTGGACTTCCCTGTTATTTTTGTCTTAGGGGTAAGACTGAACTGGGGTACTGAGAAATGACCTAGTAAAATACTTAACAGTCAACTGAGATTTGTCTGGCTAGCTAACGGTTTGAGAGCTAAGATTTTGGTGTCATATATTGGGATATTACTGGAACTAGAAAGGAAATTATTCTGCAAATCAGACATAGTTTATGAAGCAGAAAGGAGAATATTTCAATTACTTTTTATAATTAAAAGCGAATATATTCTCCTTTACAAGAAAAATATCGTCCTGTTTTTCTTTCCTCCATACTTGATACTAGAGTATTGTGTCCTTCAAGAGACAATTTCACAATCACGCATCTTATTATTGTGAAGTCAGTTTTAAACCAAAACCCACAGAAAAAATTAAATATTTTTCATTATTAGGTTCACTGACATTTTTATAAATGCTCTAGAGATATACTGCAGTGATATCTAGATACATTTTTTATTTATTTTACTGAAATGTTATTGCAGGACTTCATAAAAGAACACTCTTTAGAACATACTAGAACTATGCTTCATATTATGCATAATGTAAAAGCTTGGCAATTTTCTACAAAATATGTTTACCATTTCTTAATGTGATTTATTTGCCTTGTGTTTAGACTATTGCATGGTAAAGTTTATTTTGTGCATATACTTTTTATTTTACTAATATATTACGAGCCATATCTCAATGACCCCTGTACATTTTTCATGCTGTCTTACTCCCAATGGCCTCTGTGCATGTAAGTAACCTGTCAAGTGACAATGCCTCTTTATTTGCTTCTTACTGTTTCCTTTCAAGAACTCCTTTTCTTTATTAGCTAGTAACACAGAAGCATTAAAGTTCAGCCTCTAAATGTGCCCTGTATTCCTCATATCTTGTGTATATTAAAAAATTAATCATTTTTCTTTTGCATTTGAAAACCCTACAATCATTAGTTAACTCCATGTAGACTGAGACACATCTCCATGCTGCTAGTTTGTGATGAAGGCATTAATATGTATCATTTCTGTTGTTTGTTCCTGTTGTTTGTATCTAACATAATGTGGTTTTGTTCAAGAAGAAAATAAAGGATTGACTTTTTTTACTGTTTTTTAATGGGAAAAGATACTTGCAGTCCTAGATGGTTAGAATGGTAAAACTGTAACATGTTGTAGATCTTTAGGGCTTTCTCATATGAAATTATTTATTAATTAGTTTAGATAGTGTGAAGTTGCAAAAAGGACAATAGTAAGAATTCCATGTTTGTAGGTTTGTGGAATGGAAGAAAAATACAACTAAATTCTTGCTTGTAATATTTGGGGAAAGGTTGAAAGAGATTCTTCTTTAGGATGAAATTCAAAATGCTTCAAATGGACTAGGAAGTTTTCATATCTGTATCTTTTCAAGGTCTTAAAGAGTTGAGGATTGTCATTTGGCTAATTTATAGTTTGACCAAATTGAAGTAATTGTACTTTTTCTCTAGGGTAAAAAAAACTGCCATTGAATTGAATAATCTGCCCTGTAAAAAGAAACACATCAAGTTAAATCCTTTGCTGCTTTGGCTGAGACTTTAGTACAAAGAGCCTGTGCTTTCTGGTAGGCTCCACAGTCTTAATGATGATCTTGGTGGCTGAGGACTTCTGGAGCAAGCAAACTAAAGCTCCCACCACTGCCGACTTCCCTAAGGGGTGTTGGGTAGGGGGAGAGGGATATATCCGAACTCATCCTAAAAGATGGGTGGGATATTGTTGAGGTGAATACACCAGCTTAGGACTTGGAAACGCTCAAAGATCCCATGCTTTAGATTCAGTCTCTTCTTTCTTTTTGTAGCACGCATAAATACAGAACTGAAAACTCTTGTTCATTTTTCTGCTCACAATTGCTGATTTGTGTAAATATAAATATAATTAAGTGCCTCCTGGCTTGTTTTTTCATTAGAATTCTGCAAGAATTACCACAGATGATGTGTTCTTGGGCACAGGAGGAATAAGCTGGTTTTAATGAACAAAACTTGATTTGTCAGTCATTATGTACCTTGGCAATTGACAATCGATTGATAGACATGATGGGATTCATCCAATTTCAACTGCAGTTGAAATTATTTCTGAAACGATACTTTTACAATTTTTCCCTAAATATGGTGGAGGTTCTTTTATGTAATGCCATCACTTTTTGTTAGAATTCTTCATTCTGTCACAAGTTTTAAAAGCATGTCAATTTAACTAGCACCTATGTTTAAAGAGAACTCTAATTACAATTAATATGGTGGTAGTTTTGAAGAATAAGTACCACAAAGTATTAACACTTGTCTCTCTACATTTCTCATAGATCTTGTTAAAACATGATTATGAAAGTATCTCTATCTTTAGTGTAAATAGATGTTCTCATATTGTATTCATGTTGGTCACCGTCTACAGATTTTTCTTTAATATTGCTATTTCTTAGGAATGCAAACGTGAATGGCATGCCATTTTAGCTAATTTTTGTGGTCTGCTGAATACTGCATGAAAGGACATGCAAGCTTTCCTGAGTAGCTTTGTTACTGCTTTTTAACAGTTTTTTAAATGAACACTTTTGTTAAAATTGCACAATGAAATGATTTTGTTTTCTATAACATAGTACTTTGTATTGTAAATCTAAAACTTGCTAAAATGATGATTTATAGCACAATTAATTGTCGCCCTTAATATGCCTTTTTTTTCTTATCCCTGTGGGGGTTTCTTTTGTGTTTTAGTGTTTGATCAATTAGATCTCGTCACATATGAAGAAGTAGTAAAACTGCCAGCATTCAAAAGGAAAACACTAGTCTTACTAGGTAATTTTGAGTTATTATTTTGAACATAACAGCATAGTTTTGAACCGCTTCTGGTGGAAAATTTATAATTCTTTTTTGTGTTGTGGATTAGGTGCACACGGTGTCGGAAGAAGACACATAAAAAACACACTCATCACAAAACACCCGGACAGATTCGCTTACCCCATTCCTCGTAAGTAGCAATGGTCAATGGCACTGCAAAATCGTTTGTGTCATCCTTGACAACACGCCCCTTGTGCTACTGCGCGTGGGCAGTTCTGCTGAGACGGAGCCTGTCTTAAAGATGGGAACTGTGATAGGGCTGGGTATATTTCTTCTTTTGGTTTTTTCGGAGGGAGGGGTAGTAAGTAGCACCACTTTTACATCAAATGTTTCTTCATATTCACGGAACTTCTTGTTAATGCTTCTCTCTATCTCAAATGTTTGTTAATTTAGAATGCAGGCTAAAACATTTTTCAGTTTTCTATGCTAATTTTACATTTACGGTTCAAAACGTTTAAACCCATGTATAATTCCCGTGAGAAGAAATATAAACTGGATTTTACATTTACGGTTCAAAACGTTTAAAACCATGTATAATTCCTGTGAGAAGAAATATAAACTGAATTTAGAGGAAACTAATGCGTACCTTATCTGAACATTTTAAATTACTTTTCACAGCCTAGCCTTGAGGACTGGTATTATGCTAAAATAGCTGCAAGTTTCCAGAGATGACAATAAGAAAAAGAAAACGCAATTAACTTTGCCGCTTACAAGTGTGTTGTTACAGAGCACACGGCCGTTTTCCCTTCCTGACAGTCTCTGTCAATACCATGGCAGGAACTGCGTATCCTACTGTATGATCTCTTGGAGATGCACCCTTTTTCCTCAGGCTAGGTATTCTGAAACAAGAGCATCCAGCAGTTCACTCTGTCCACTCTATTTCAGGCTGAGTTCAGAAACACCATACATGGCTCAGAAGTGACATTGATGACCATTATGCATTCATTTAATTTTCTTTATACCTTTTTAGTGCTTTACTTTAGAATTGCACTTAGGTGTTTTTCTACCTATAAGGATTTTGTTGTTGCTAAAAAGTATTATTTTGAAGAACTTATCTGTAAACCTATTTGAAAGGGGAAAAGGATTAGTTGGCTGCTGATTTAAGATCCCCAGGCTTGCTCGCTAAGGAGTTAGACAAAGACCGGTACCAGCAGAAGGGAAACAGAAAGACCCTTTTGAAAGTATGTGCCATTAGATCACCCCAGCAGCAATGTGAAACTGCACTGTTTGTCACACTGCCGTTTATATCTGGACACTAAAATCCTGGATTAGACACTTTAACAGTGCGGTGCCAGGAGTACGGGATGCACATCGTACCTATGTTATTCAATACAGACAGAACTATATGGGGGGAAGGGAGCAGTAACCCAGCAAATAAGCTCTTCAGTACAAAGAACTAAAACAAAGAGTAATAAATGTTTTACAGTATGCTTTTCACCCAGTCTCGCTCAAGTACTAACTGTATTGCTCTGGTAGAGGTAGAAGCTGAACTAGTTATTTATCTTGAAATAGCTGTTAAAATGGACTCACCTATACCGTGATGACGTGCCCTAGATTGCCTGCATTAGGTTCCTGCTTTGTGGAAGCACTGAAATTGCTTCACTGATGATATAAGAAGACTAGACTGCAAATTAGGATGAAATTCAGGTGCTTAAGCATCAGTGTGATGTTTGATGCCTGGTTTAGACATCACCTGACCTCCAGCCCCACTCCAGAAAAGCAATGGTCTCCCTTAACTCCTGTGTTATATCTGTACGGGTCTTTCAGATACAAGGCGTTTGGGGCATTTAAAATAGCACTTTATGCTGGTATTTAGAGACCCAAATTACTTCCTTATGTTAGTGATATATCACATACACTTTAAGTATTATGGGAACCTGATCTGTTTTTCAGCTGACTCTAGGTAATTGATTTTATTCTCTTCAACTCTCAGGGATGGATTTTACTGCATTTTCTGCATTGTTTTACGAAACTGTGGAAGGAGTAGGTAGATTTTGAGATAGACCTTAAGTTGGGTGTGGAGTTTTGGGGAATGCTTTGTGAAGAAATTATCTACCTACTGAAAACCTGATTGTAAAGGTCATGTCACACACAATGGTAGTTAACTAAAAGGATTAGTAGGCCATACGTCCCTTACCACATAGGTCTGCAGAAGCAATATATTCAAAAAGTACGTGATTGCTAAGTAGCTTTCATCTCTCTTGACCACAAGTAATCAGGCCCTCACCTACTTTTTAGACTTACACTTTCACATGCAGAAGAAGAAAACCTCATAAGAATTTAAGTACAAAAAAGAAAATACAAAAATGTTTTTACAAAAGAAGAGGATTTGGGGGAAATATGTAAGTTCAGTAGACCTAAGGAAGCAGTGAGTAGTATAGTGATATTATACGGTTTATATAATCCATTGTTCTTGAATTCCTTAAAATAATAACCATTATCTATAATATTTCTATAGAACTTTTCATCTCTGAAATATGCTAATTAAGCCTCAGAACGTTGCTAATTAAGCCTCAGAACAGTAATAGGTATGATTAAAAATAGAAGATGAGTTCAATTTTTGGATACCTTGTTTGAAATTATGATGGGTTTGTTGAAAGATACGAGATTAGATTGGGAAGAGATGGGGTGTTTCAGATATGTCACCAGCATAAAAATGATATTGGAAAAATATGAGAGTAAATCAGTTTGCAAGGGACTAGTAGAAGCAAGAGAAGCAAGTGGGTATCAGCGTGCCTATGAGGAAGAGAGGAGCAGATGTCCTACAGAATCACAGAATAGTTGAGATCCCTGCCTCTGGAAGTCATCTGGTCCAACCCTCCTGCTCAAGCAGGGTCACCTAGAGCCGGTTGCCCAAGACCATGTCATGATGACTTTTGAATATCTCCAAGGCTGGAGACTCCACCACCTCCCTGGACAACCTGTGCCAGTGCTCAGTCACCATCACAGTGAAAAAAGCATTTCCTTACATTCAGATGGAAGCTCCGGTGTTTCAGTGTGTGCTTGTTACCTCTTGTCCTGTCATTGAGCACCACTGAAAAGAGACTGGCTTCATCTTTACACCTTCACTTTAGACATTTGCACTCATTGGCGAGATCCTCCCTTTCTCCAGGCTGAATAGTCCCAGATCTCTCAGCCTTGCCTCCTAGGAGAGATGCTCCAGTCCCTTAGTGCCCCTTCACTGGACTCTCTCCAGTAGCTCCATGTCTCTCTTGTACTGGGGAGCCCAGAGCTGGACCCAGCACTCCAGGTATGGCCTCACCAGTGCTGAGTAGAGGGGAAGGATCACCTCCTGAAACCTGCTGCCAATACTTTGTCTAATACAGCCCAGGATACCTTTAGCCCTTCTTTGTTATAAGGACACATTGCTGGCTCATGTTCAACTTGGTGTCCACCAGGACCCCCACAGGGCCTTTTCTGGAGAGCTGCTTGCCAACTGGTCAGCCTCCATCATGTACTGGTGCATGGGGTTGTTCCTCCCCAGGTGAGGGCTTGGCACTTCCCGTTGTTGAACTTCATGAGGTTCCTGTCAGCCTGTGTCTCCAGGCTGTCGAGGTCCCTCTGGATGGCAGCACGACCCTTTGGTGTATCAGCCACCCCTCCCCGTTTTGTATCATTGGCATCTTCACTGAGGGTACACTCTGCCCCATCATCCAGATCATTAGTGAAGATGTTGAACAGGATTGGGCCCAGTACTGGCCCCTGGGGTAAAGTGGAGATGTTAATTGAATCGCTTGGAAACCATAAAAACTGTGAGATCTGGCCTTTCTTTGCTGTTGAAAGCAGCTGATAGAGTCTTACAGTCTTGACCAGATAAAGGTTATTTATGACCTTCTTCCTCTGTTACCTTTTCATTTTTACCTTTTCTACATCCCTTCATCTCCTGCTTTTCCCAACACACATCCCCCATATTCCTGCTTTTCCCAGCCCCTGTCATTCTGCCTACCTCGAGTTCATGCTTCGTTCTATATGTGATTTGACAGGTCATCATTCAGTGCATAACTATTGGTAAATGAAACAAAAAGCCATGTATAAGCTTAATACTGCTTTTGTACTAAAAATAGTTTGTATTTTGTATTTTCAGACACAACCCGACCTCCAAAGAAAGACGAAGAAAATGGGAAAAATTACTACTTTGTATCGCATGACCAAATGATGCAGGATATATCAAACAATGAATATTTGGAATATGGCAGCCATGAGGATGCAATGTATGGGACAAAACTGGAAACAATACGAAAGATCCATGAGCAGGGACTAATTGCAATACTTGATGTAGAACCTCAGGTAACTGATTAGAAGTATATGAAAATGGGACTCATCACAAATCCTTCGACATTTTATTTAGATATATTTATTTTCATTGATTGTACACTAGATAAGTAATGTGTACAGTAATGTGGAACACCAAAGTATCAATCTGTGAAGTAGAATTCTGGTAGTCATCTGGTTAGAAGAACATACAGCAGAAAAAAATTCATAGTTTAGCTCTGTATGCAACCACTATAGCTTGAAAATCTACTTACTGTGTAACTTTTTACTATATTAGCCTTATGTCCAGTGAAATGTATCAAAACAAGTGATTGTCATTGCCTGCCAGGAGTAATGTTTCGATATTTTCAAAAATTTCTCTTTGATGCTCTATTAGAGGGTAATCTTGTTCCTAACTGACTCTTGCCTCCATATCACTACTGAGCATGGTCAGAAACATTTGTGGTCAATCACCAATATCGATCCTGTTTGCACAATGGCCACATCAGTGCTGTTACTTTATAAACCCCTTTCTGTGTTGCAGTATTATACTTTTTGGAAGATGGCAGGAAGGGGAATGAGGCTCTCAAGAAACACTAATAGTTTGTTCATTCATTACATCAAATCTTCAGTGGAAAATTGTGATACGTTTCCTTTGAAACATCCATGTAGTCATGACTTTCAGTTCACATGGATGTGTTTCTGTGTTTTGTTAAGTGGAACAACATGAATATGGACAAACGTGATGTTTATATTATTCTAGCAGATTGAAGGAAATGGGAGGAAAGACAAATTAAAATTGTTACTAGTGTTATCTATTTAAATTTGCTGCCTTCTTTCTTCTTCGTGAATGGATTCGAGAAGTTCAAATTCTTTAAGAATTTCGTAACAGAAATAAGATACCTGACTAAATTATGTAGGACAGTTCACATAGTATGCCGGTGTGGTGCAGTTCTGAAAAATAAAATCCCACATTTAACAGTTTTCAGGGAGAGCAGCATTTACAGTTAGTTCAAATGTTGCAGCTGTTAAAAGCAAACTCTCTTGATAAACCTTTTCAACTTGCATTATCCAGAAGCATTACAATTCTCAGAAGCCATTTTAATCTTTGTTAGAATATATTTACATTGAATAACAGCCACCTTTGCTACACTGCCTCCAGCATGTGTCTAGCAAGCCTCTTCCTCAACCAGATTCCTCATGCAGCCATCTCCGCTCATTAAAGCCAGCCTGTTTGGGGACTTACTCCTAGTTCTCTTACACTCCTTGCCTGTTTTCCCTTGGGTACTCTTAGTTAGGTGAGTTTTCTGTGCTTTCACACATGGGGTTTATCCCTTGTTTAGAGGAGGTTGGCATAGATGATATATATAGGTGGGTTTCAAGCAGCAGAGATGAAAACCTCTTTAGCTTGGGAAAATGATGGATTGTGGGATTTTGTCTGCTTTTTTTTTAAAAAAAAAAAAAAAAAAAAAACTTTGGAGAATACAGGAAGTGGAAGGAGCAAAAAAAAGACTGACCTTTAGTAGTCTTGCTTTATCTTGCCCACCCCTTTGAGTTCAGCTGAGGTATGTTTACTTGCTGTCCTGCGCTTCAGTCTAGCTGGGATCTGTACTGAAGATTCACATACGGCAGCTCTATGTGTCACCCAGTAAATTATGACTAAGTCAACTTTTTGATGAGAACTCTTTTCTTTGGCATAGCTTTGGTTCAGGGGATTGGTGCTGCATTTACTGCATTAGTGCTCACTTTTTAAAAACTTCAATACGGTTGCTTTTTAAAAACTTCGAACCTCTCACATCACACTTTCATTTGTTTCAGAAAATACTAATAAAAGAGTGTTGGTAGGTAGAAAAAGTCAGACATAAAAATTATATTCCAATCTATTTATTATAAAATACAGTTGTCTCTGCTCCCTATTTGTGGCATAACTTAATTTTTTTACCTGGTGTGAATCATACCGTTTAAATGCAAACAGAATTCTGCACTCTTTGAGACTGTATGGGAAGAGCTCTCTGAAAATGCTGAAGTTTTTGTTGTCTTGAAAACTCACTTTAATTAAGGATAAATATACAGTCTGACCACCAAAAATGTAAAATAATGCAAAAAGTTAAGTGTGTGTATTGCTAAGATCTTGACTCCAGATCAGTTAAAAACAAATACCAGTGCCGATAAATCATGATTTTATGTCTTTTGCTTGTGTGACTAAACTTATTTCACATTGATTGTAAGGGGATTCTTCTAAAGTATCTGGTGTTTTTTTTTCACCCAGGCATTGAAGGTCCTGAGAACTGCAGAGTTTGCTCCTTTTGTTGTTTTTATTGCTGCACCTACGATTACCCCAGGCATTAATGAGGTACGGCATGTTGCAATCTAATGTCCTATCAGAGAGAATTAAGGATGAGATTCAAATATGCGGATAAGACTCTTTAATTGTTTCCTTGTCTGTAAATGGAGAAGCAGAAAGACAGTCGTATGGCAGCATTACTGTTGATTGAGATGTATTTATTGTTTATTAACTGATTTTTCTAATTCAAAGTATGAACTTCAAGTTGAAGGATCCATGTGATGTATTCTAAAAATACATGTTCTTTTATTCCATTCCCTGCCCTAGCTCTAAGATCCATTTCCAAATCCTTGACAAATCACTAGCACAAATTGCTCAGTTCTGAGTTGCAATGCTAGCACTAGGTTACAGCTAGCCTGAACTGAAGAAATGAGTGTGTATGACTGGGCTGTCATCCCACCTTTATCTTTTAGTATTTTTTCTATACAGCAAATTTATGTCAGAAATAGGCTTATTAATTTTGAAAACTGTTCTCTAAGAATTGGAAGCTTTGATCAAAGGGATAATTGCTTGTGGAATAATGTTAAGTATTCATGGAGGTCCACCTCCTGAATTTCCTACTTAGTTTTGACAGAGTATCCACTCTGCAGATTGCTACTGATTTCAAAGATGATATCAAGCAATTCTGGATTTAGGTCACAACAGGGCAAGTGGTATTTCTACAAACACTTTATCTGCTCAGCTTGCATTAAACCAAGATATTAAGGTATTTAATCAACTGAATTTGACCACGAATCTGTTCCAAATCTCCTAGATGTCTCCTTGATTGTGCAAAAATAAAATCAGAATCCCTGTCTCTACAGCCTGTTCCTACAGAAATGTAATTACGGTATCATAAGTATGAAACTATGGCATCACTGCAGAGGCTTGCAGGAAAATAAGGAACAGGACAAACATATTTAAATGCAAATACCTGGTATGATTATTAACATAGCAAGTGGACAGTGAAAAAGATTGGCCTCGAGCCTTCTGGGCCATCTATTGCCAGTCTGCACTGACCACGGCACTTACCAGATCCTTTAGTGAGCTACTTTAGCTCTAAATTGGAGTTTTATCAGTTTTCAAGCAACTCACAAAGGCTCTGCCAAGCACCAATGCCAGGACAAGCAGTGAAAGCACATAGCCAGGAGGAGAGATGGGAGGGGGAAGAAGGATCTTTTAACTTTCACAGCAGTAAATTCTGTCATTTCATTGTGTCTTATGGACCCACACCCCAAGCGGTAAAAATGTCAGGAGTGTACGGACAAAGATCTCTCAGAGCATCACAGTTTGCAGTGTTGACGAAGTGACAGTTTGTCTAACTGCCGGTGTTGGCATATGCTGTAAATCAGTACGATCTTGAGAAAAATACTAAAATTCTGTGTTCTACACTGAATTTGCCTTTGTGCAAGCAAATGGCATGGCATCACTGAAGAAATGGTTAGAATCGTTCTTATGACGTGTCAGGCAAGCATTGTGCGTACAGCAGCGCTCAGGCAGCCAGGTACCCTGGGGGATTATGTGATTGCCTGGGTTTGTTGCCTCCATACCTGTGGCTCAAATAGTCTTCCTTGGCCTCACTTGCGGGTACCAGCGGTACTTAACTTCCAGCTGTAGGGTATAATAGAGAGACATTTGGGACAGTTCGTATGAGGGAGAAAATACGTTCCGTGGTACACTGGGAAGATGACAGAAATGTACCTTTTATAGTAGCGGTGGGAAAATATTTGTTCATGCCAAAGAAATATTAGTAGAAGTATTATGTTCTAAGTAGTTGCATTCAGGCTGTAAGACCGTGTCTTTATTTTAAGCTCCTGTGACTAAAGTGTATGTGCACACAGGGTTTCGCTCAGGCACATGAATTGCTGAACTGAGGCCACACTTATAAAGCATGCTAATTTATGAATGAATTAAACTCAGGGAAAGGGAGGGGCAGGAAAACAGTAATAGCAACAGACCTTACCCGAATGCAGGATCCTGTTTTCCAAGGTTTACTGGGCTGGATGAAGGGAGATACGCCAGCTGTGTCTGTGTGTTAGCAGCCTGCAAGGCAGCAAACAAGGGTGCAGAGTCTGTGTTTCATATTTCCCGTTCACGCTTCCCTTTTGAAAGGTTCGCAATGAGTATCCCTTTCTGTTTACCCCCTTATCCTGCTTTGTTTATTTTATTTATGCTTTTTGAGAACACTTCCGTAAATGACTATCCTTTTTTCCCCTCCTTTTGTTTTCTTAAATTTCATCTTTGCTTTTCTTTTCATTTTCCTGCACTCGTATTATTCGTACATAGCTGCCAAAATGGTGCAGAAAATTGCCTGTAAGTACCAGCTAGGGACTGACAAGGTAGTCCTGGTTATTTCAGTAGTTTTAGAATGTAGATATGCTTGTTCCCATTCAACTTACTTTTGTCATTGGAATAAAAATTTAATGTAATAATGACTTCAGATATCTGCGCTAAAATTGTCTCCTAGTAAAAAGAAACTAGAGAGTAAAATTTCTACTCTTACAGCTGAACATCTGAATTTTGTGGTAAAATCAGTGCCTGATCTTAAAAGTATCTCTCTTGAGACACTTTAGCCTATCATAGACCACACAAAATATCTCAATAATCAAGGACCACACAGCAAGAGCTAGAAGACAACATATTATGCTTTCCAACTGAATATAGCAGTGCACCATGAGCAATTCTGCAAAGCACAAAACCAATTTAAATCATGTATGTAATCTCCCAGAGTGTACCCACCTGTCTAATCGCAAAGGAAACTGAAATCAGATTATTGCTGTGCTAGAGCAGAGAGACGAGAGAGCATATCAGGAAAGCCTGGAGTTGTTCCTCTTTCCTCCAGCTGTTTTCTACCTCGCATTGCACAGACAGCAGCGAAGAGGAGTCGACAGGCTCCACTTTTTTGGTCTAAATCTTTGTTGAGCCATGTGTAAATCTTTATTGAGCCAAGTTCTTCTGAATTTTAGCTATGCTTCCTCCCTTCCTACAGCCAAAGAATAAAATGAAAATTTCTTAAGAAGTTGCCAGTCCATCAGCTGTTTAAATTGAGGAGAATGATCTTTGAGGTCTCTTCCAACCATAACGATTCTACGATTCTATGTTGGAGCAAAACTGGCAAAAGCCTGATGGTGTGTTTGTACATTGTTCACAGCCTTGGAAGGGAATATTAGTAATTTGTTAGGCTGTGCTTTGACTGTCACAAGCGGCAGCTATTGTCCTGTGTCCTATTTAGGCATTGGAATGGGCTCCCCAGGGAGGTGGTGGAGTCACCATCCCTGGAGGTGTTCAAAAAACATTTAGATTGGGCGCTTCGAGACATGGTTTAGTGGGCATGGTGGCATCGGATATACGGTTGGACTTGATGATCTTTGAGGTCTCTTCCAACCATAATGATTCTATGGTTCTATGTACTTTAAGGCCAAAAAACCCAGCCCTCAGAGGCTAAAGATACCACTGGTGGCCATTATGCACATGGGAGAGATGTTCTGCTCCCAAATGTGACATTACTGAAGTTGTGGCCGTTCATTTCTCTGTCTACAGCTAGCTGAACATTTTGATAAATATCTTTTTTTTTGACACTATTGAGAGGACAACTGCTGGAGAATATTCTTCTTGGAGAATGATCTGGGATGTTCACTATTCAAAATTTGGTTAAGAAATTTTAGAGAAATCGAGAGGAACTTACTACAGCAAAAACTTTGAGGAAGTATTTGCTTCAAAGATGAATTTTGGCATTTAAGACTTACAGACACTGAGGAAACACTTAGCCAAGTCTGCCGTGTTTTGAATGTACAAATAGATACTCTATCACAAAAACAGGTGAAATTTGGTCCCAGAATAAAACAAAAATCAAGAACTGTAATCTCTTTTCTCTTTGCAGAACTTGAGAAAGTTTGAACCTAGGCTTCAGTGGCCTATCCCAAACTTATTACTGCCCCTAAAAGTATATGAAAGAAGTAATGTTTTACATTTCCAACAGACTGGGAAATATAGATACTCCAAAATACAGCCTGCTTTGATCCCAGTAAAGTTGGATCTAGGAGAAACTAAGTCAGAAAAATATTAAAATTTAATGAGTTTTCAAAACTCTTTGTTTTGTGACATCTATATGTGCAAGGTAAATATTAGTATTCATTCTTCTCTACCAGTTGTTTTTTTGAAGGTGCAATAGCTGTAAGTTTTTCACATTTTTATTGTCAGTCACAGTAAGATAGATGCTTTAGAGAGAAAAGTTCATTTTCATATTTGTAGGTAAAGATGATACTGATGGGAAATCTGAATAGCAGTTAAAAAGCTACATAGGACTTAACAGTTCTAAGGCTTCATGGGGTTTTTTCAGGTACTGTTAGCCTTGTGCCGTGAGATTAAAACTCTTAAAAAAAGGTGCAATATGATTTTCCTAAGACTGGCTTCAAATATAAAATTAATCTTAGCTAGATATATTTAAAGCACTGAAAATACTCTGCTTGACAAGTATGATTTTTTTTTTTTTTTAGCTTTGTAGGTTAATTTAAGCAGAAAAGTTCACATCCCCTGCTGATATTAATTGATGTCTCTTTTGGAATCTATGAGAAGTTGGCAGTTTACCTAACTAGGTTTTGGCTTAAAGACATTGGGCCATATGAAATCTTCCACAAAAATATTTAATATTAGTATTGATCCATATTGTCCTATTTGTTAATAGCATAAATTGAATTTGCACGCACTGGTATTTTCTATGGAAGTTCCAGGCATCGCTGGTGATGCATAATGGTCCATACAAGGAGCATCCCTTGTACAGAAGCGCATGTGAGGAGTATTCATCTGACTTTGAAGGAACTTTGCAGTGATTATCCAGTGAAGGCAACGTCCCCCCTTCATTTGAGGCTGGAGCTTCAGGAGAGAAGCAGAACTGTAACTTTGGTACAGAACTTCTCCTCCAGAAGTGGCTGGTTTCGTAGCTACGGGGAAGGAGAACTGTCTCAGCACAGGTGGTTCCCTTCAGAGGACCTGAAAGCCGCTGTTCCACAGCTACTTGTCACCGTAATGACAAATACTTGGGAAATTTAAACAGAAAAAAGGAGAGGGGGGAGTCTCTTCTTAGCTGGATAAAATTCTGCTCCCAGAATAATTTCTTGCGAAAACAGCTATAGGCACTGTGTCTGTACTTCCTACAGCCTAAAACTCTGTTATAATAAAGTGTATCCCAGTTGATTGATCAAGTAGGGTGACCCTATAGATCCTGCAGAGCAGCAGGAGTCTATACTGTTCATATGGAATTTTACCCCATATCCACCCCAAACCTGTGGGGCGGGAAACACTTGATTACTTTCCTGTGGCTATTTCAAGGTTTATGAAAGCAGCGATTTTTTTTTTTTTTTTAATGTTAATTTCTAAGGGAATTTGCAGGAAGAGAATTTAAACTTAGGGTTGGTGCCAAGCCCTAGGAAGAAACCTTTTGCAGTCCCGCTCTCTCAGGCAGGCAGAGCTCCCTCACAGAGCCCATTGGTGTAGCGTTGCCGGCTGCGCAGAGCCCGGTAGCAGACCCCCAAAGTAGGACACGCGCGTTTCGGTGAGGACACGGACACAAGGCCATGGAGAGCACCGGCCTCCTGTCCCTGGCCCTTCTTGAGCGCAGGTTGTGTGGTTCGTCTTCAGGAGCTCGGACTAAGAGGTGCTCTGAAATAGGAACCGCAGAGTAATGCGGAGCAAGAACTTCCGTATCGGTAAATCGTTGTTAAAGGAAGTAGACCCAGAAGACTGATGTTGAACAGAAAACATTACCAAAACCGGGAACAGCTGATACCTGACAATATACCCTCTCCTGTTTCTCGTGTTCTTACCTGGACATAGACCCAGTTAGCTCATCTTTGTGCCCTTTATACCTTTTATTCGTATCTGGTCTCCATCGCTCGTGTCTGTGCTGCTTTTCTAAGCTTCCATCCTCTCCCTCGCTTTTTTAACGCTAGACTTGTGTTTTGCTTCAAGTAATGTCAATAGCCAAGTGCAGCTTGAATGTCAGCTTCAAGAGAGAAATTGTGCCATTTCTTCCATGTGATTTCCGTAGATTTAGATGGGGGATCTAAACCACCCAGGCCTCCCTAAGGCTTTTTTTGCCCCTTTCCTACTCTGTACGCAACAGTTAGAAAGCTGTCGTAGAAGAGTACGAAAGGATCCAACTTCTCTCTCTTCCCTTTTCTTTTCTGACCGCCGAACAGGATGAATCTCTTCAGCGCCTGCAGAAGGAGTCTGAAATCTTACAGAGAACATATGCACACTACTTTGACCTAACAATTATCAACAATGAAATCGATGAAACTATCAGGCACCTGGAGGAAGCCATCGAGCTGGTGTGTACAGCCTCCCAGTGGGTCCCGGTCTCCTGGGTCTACTAGACCGATCACAAGAAAATTGGGAAAAAAAAAACAAAAAAAACAAAAAAATCTGTCATTACTGGGAACCACCTCATACATGGAAAACCTCTTCGTTATTGACCTCGTGTCAATAGGTCTTGGCCCCTAGAGACTACCTAGATGTAGTGTGACCTAAAAATATAATTATTGTCATGTCCGAATAGATAGGAGGAGGGGGGAAAAAAAAATTTAAACACTAATTTAAAGAGACAGTATCTTTTTTTTAATCATTTCTCCTAAACTTTAATAAAATGTATCTTTAAATATATGTATTATTCAGTCCTTTGGAATGTTATATTTTTGGAAATCATAGCTTTTTATTTCAAGGGCCCCTAAAAACTGCACAAAATAGATGCTGCTTTCTATAATCTATTTTAATAGTAATAATAATATGATTCTGTTACCTTAACTTGGGGGTGGAACACTACATTCTTTTTAGAGTCTGATTTTATGGATTGGAATACTTTGCTTTCCTTTATTTATTTGAAGTAATTAGTCTAGTGGTTACGAAACAAATTCATAAATTTTAAAGGCCTTTTCTTGCTCTTTTTTTTTTTTTTCCTAGGATAGTATTTTTAAGTACTTTTGTGTAACATCCAGATAATGTGATACTGTCTCTTTGAAGAACTCTGTAAAACTTCTAGAAATTTGAAATTGGGTCTTGACTCTTAATGCATGTGGACAGTCGCAAGCGTTCATGCCGTTGGTGTATCTGTGTTGATAAAACCTGTAATCTACAGCAAAGTACATTCCGTTCATGGGAACACGTACCCAAGGGAATAAAGTACAATATTATTCTGACTAAGTTGTAAACCTATGCACATCCCTTGCATTTTGGGCAACTTTATAAAAAAAAGAAAAACTGATTTTTATTAATAATAATCATGTAGTGAAATGTGTTTGTAATTTTGTCTCAATTTAATTTGTTGTAAGGTGGGAGGGGGCAATTACTGGTTTCACCATTTCAGATCTGTGTTGTCTGAGAGTATTAACGTTTTAATTAAGTTTAAGCAAAGAAATGCTGATTTTTAATATGTATGTAATTGTTTAAAAATGCACACATTTTAAAAGAAAATACTGTGCAATGAAGAAACCAGTTTAGGCATTGCGATAAACTGACTATTCCAAAAGACTCATCTACAACAGCCCTGTAAATTCCTTTAAAAATGGTAATTGACTCTACAGTCTGACCAATTTTTTTTATTTTAAATATACTTCCTTTTATGTGTTCAACAATTAAATGCTTTTGGGTCCTTCATTTCATCACAGGGAGTTTCAAGAAGAAATCAGTGACTTGAGCAGTGAGGAAAGGTTTTCCTAAAGTCTGTTAAGGGAAGACCCTCGTAGGGCCACAGCCCGCAGGCTGTTCCAGGGGCTCTGCTCCGACTGTACGGGCACGAGTTCAACTAATTTAGAATTAGAGCAGACACAAGTAAAAAAATTTAACCGTGTGCTGTCACCTGATGTTTTGTTTCCCTTCTTCATGCTCTGACTGACCCAGATGGTTTGCATTTTTTTTCTGAAAATGGTTAACAGAAGCAAGCATTGCCACCTCTTCTTAGGTGTCAGAAATACGATGTTCCTTAAAATGATTTATCTTCATAGCTTGGTTGGCCGTGCTGTTGTATAGTATGAAGTTTAGTGTTTATATTAAAATGATACGGTGTTCTCAAGGATTTATCCTCAAAGTTGAACTATCGGCTGTAAGCGGTCTGTGGGCTTTTCCAGTTGTTTTGGGACCACTGCACGTGTAATCAGAAAAGGTTGTCATGGTTGAACCTTTATCGTAGGGGTAATGATCATAAAGTGCATAGGTTGCTAATTTTCTCCTGTCTACTCCTACTGCAGGTCGGGTGGTCATATCTCTATTCCCGTAAAATCCTTAGGTGAAATCTTGGTCCCACTCAGCATCCCGTCCAGCCGGGTCAGGCCTATTCCCGTAAAATCCTTAGGTGAAATCTCGGTCCCGCTCAGCATCCCGTCCAGCCGGGTCAGGAAAGGTGGTTGTTTTGTGCAGCATTGACAGCACAGCTTGCAGCCCGCGGTGCAGGAGAGGACTTGTTCTGTCGCTTCATCCCACGATGCTGAACAGCTGGAATCACAGTTCTGTGACTGCATCCCAAAACAAGTACTGGAACCGAGTCCCTTGAGCTTGTAGTTTGTGGGGTGCTAAAAACTTAACCGATGAGAAACTATCGCATAAGCAAGGCAGCTAGTAAGAGGGAACCTATTGGAGTAACAGTAGCGGCTCCTCTGTTCTGAATTTAGCCCCTGTAGAAGGGGATAGGTGCAAACTGTGAACTATTTAGTGAGCAAGAGGTAATTTTTCAAGTAGTCGTACCGTGACATTTTAGTCCTGGGTGAACCTTAGCAGGCGTTCCCATAGATCAGTATTACACCTTAGCTGAGCTCATCGAAGTGACAGGTTCATTCACTCTCGAAACTACCTCTTTTCCCAGTAAAGCACAAAGATGGGAAGACCTACTGAAAATCCAGCAGTGGAGTGTTTCTGATGTTAGAAATACAAACTTCTTCTCTGGTAAGCATTGGTGTCTGACTTCAGTGACACATCCTTCATCTCAAATGTTTATGACATTAAACAGGTAAAGTAATTTTGATAATTCGGGTCTAGTCTACCATAAATGTTTTGATTACACACTTTTCACTCTGTTAATGTGAATTTCTTGGAGTTTCTGTGTATCCAGCCTGTAAGGAAAGAAAACTCATAGGGCCCAGGAGGGTGCTTCTGCCTTATGTAGATGACAATAAGTAGTGATTTAATGTAACTAGTAACGCTTTTCTTCTCTTAAGGGGAGCTACCCTTCAGTTATTATTAGACAGTAGAAAGACTAACTTGGACAGCTTTGTTTCTTTTATTCTCACTGTATAGCCTTTTATCAAGAGACAAAAACTGTAAAGCACATCAGCTAGCATAATGTCCTGCCTCCTCTTCATCACGGACTGTTTTCCTTGTAGGAACCTTCAGTAGCAAAAGATTAACTTGAAACCCCCTTAGGCTTTAGGTACAGCCCAGTGAGCTCCATGAACTGGTTTCAGGACAGTCCCAGGAAGCTCCGAGCAAGCCCAGGACCCCTCAGTCCACGCCAGATCCACGCCTCCCCTGCCTCCTGCCCTGCCCAAACCCTTCTGATGCATCTCCGTTATTTGTGTGGTACGTAGAGGGCAAAAGGCTGCCATAAATTCGGAGGGAAGCTTCACTTGCGTAAGGCAGACTCGTGCAGGTGCAGAGCTAATGTTAGGATTTTTTTTTTAAGTTTTTTTCAATCTCCAACTGGAGAAGGGTCCTCGTGGTACTGTAAATATCACTGCATAATTTAGAGGACCTCTTGGACTTCTCTAAATTTATGCTGAATGTGACCTCAGAAGCAGCCCTGGGATTGGGAAGAAACAAATATTTCTGTTTGCCCCTTTTATACTTTATTTTTGTACAGGGGCTCATAGATTTGTAAAGAAAACTTGATCTTATCAGTATGCTGCCTCTCAGTCTGACTGATGCCTGTGATTACAAGGTGTTAAGTTGGTCCAGTAAATGTTCATTAACCTCTGCTTCCATTTACTTAATAAAAGTACACTAGGTTATTCAGCGTCTGAGTGGTAAGATTATTGCATGGAAACGGTAACCTAGTTTAGGCAATCCGGGCCACTGTCACGCAACCCACAGCATGCGACTATATAAAACCAGAGGGACATTTTTAATCTCATGGCCAAAACTGAATTCTTCCATATGTTTTAGCATTGTTTTTCTTTTTATTTGATGTGGATCAAGAAAGATGCTGTGCCACTAGCCTCTAAGTGAAAATATCGCTACCTACTTCAGAAACGTCATTAGCACAGTTACTCGGGTGATTTTGAAAGGACAACATAGAAGATGAGATGTTACAGCCTGAGCAGCATCGAACTGGAGAGTACACTTCCAGAACTGGATACTAGAGCCATTAGGAAATGGTAATGCACAGACTAACTTCAGTATTTATTCCATTTTTATTCTTTTCACTAAGGAAATTATTTCAGAGTGCTACTATTTAAACAAATACTTGGAAATGCTGCCAAAACTCACATTGTTTTTTGCAAATCTAGCTTGAAATATTAGATGCAAACGGTTCTGGTCCCATTCTCTTCCATGGCAATTAGTTAACAACATCTTTAATGATGGCAGTTAGAACTCAATTTCAGGCTTTAAAATACTTGGTAGAAGAGGATTGGTGAAAACTACAGGAAAAAGTGTATTTCTGGACTGACTTGAGTAAGAGTCGTCTGGTTTTATGAGCTAAATTGACAGAGTATAAGCTAAAGCAGACACAGGCCTGCTTTCTTTATGTAAAGTATATTCCTTCTCTTCTTCTTCCTCTCTCACACTAGTTTCTTCACTCCTTTTAATGAGCTAAGAGATACCCGTAACTATTATCAAGGAGACTGCTGTACATTATGTCAAATAGTCGCATATAAATTAAAATATCCGCACAACAGGAAACGTATCCTGGACAGGCAAGGCAGAAGGAACTTCTCCGGAATGATGGTGCCTTGTGTGCGTACCATGCGGATGAGTTAGAGGATACCGGCTTTGTATTTTTTTGTGTGTAGCATTAGCAAAAATACACTCTCCTCTAACACACAAGCCAGTTCCAACACTTAAATATTTACCGTGGGTTTTTTTCACTCGCTGATACACACAGTGCACCTACAGTAATTTTTACTTTCTTCCCCTTAAGTGATTTTTTAGCAGCCTTCTGCTCCGGTCCTCTGAAAACTGGACTGAAGCAAGTACAGAAGCTTTTTGACTTCTTATGATTCAGCCTCAGAGTTAAAGGCTTTTAAAGCCTCTTTCCCAGACGTGTACATTACATAAATAGTTAATTCTTACCTCAGAAATATGTTTTCCATAGCTGTAATCTCAGTTAAGATTTTAGACAGCTAGAAAGTTGACCACTTTTGATGTAGTCTTAACTTTTCTAAGAAAAAATAAAGGCGGGGGGGTGTATACGCATGTCCATGCATCCTGCTGTCTCTCTTCTTAGCAACCCCCAGGGGAAGATCAGTAACAGGCAAATTAAATCTGGCCACATCTCCACCGAAAGTTCTTACGATTAATATGTAACTTGAGATTGGTTTTGTGTTGTGGAAGATAACTGAACACATGCCATGCTGCATCCGTGAAAGAGTTCATGTTCAGTATTAGCAAAGTAATCGCAAATTTTCCCTTATCAGTAGCCATAGCTAATTTTTCTATCTGCTTAAAGGAAACAC